AAAGCAAGCTTGGACTGCCTGTCCTCTAGGACGTCACTGGCAAGGGCAGGAGCACCCCCGACGGACAGAGGACAGGCAGGGTCAGAGACCAGAGCGGTAGCGTAGTCAAGGCGGCGGGTAGAGGTGAAGTCAGCGACAGCAGCGACAAGCACGTCAAGGCGCGAGACAGGAACAGAAGGGTCGGTAACAAGAGAGGCAAGGACCCGAGGGACAAGGGGACGAGCAGCACGGAGGTAGGCAGACAACGGAGGAGGTGCAACAGCAAGTGACGACGGAGGAGGGGACGGGAGGAGGGGAGGACGAGACGAGTGGGAACGGAGCAACATAGGGTGAGAGCGCAGGACAGGAGAGACGGGGCGAGCACGTGAGGGACGGCGAGACCAAACGTGAGACGGAGGTGTAGGGTCAAGGGACAGCGGAGGAGACACAGGAGGGGCACGAGGAGAAAGACGGGCTGGAGACGCGTCTGGCGGCGGGAACACTGGACTGTAGACAGGAAGGTCAGCAGGCGGTGTGGGAGACACCGTCGCGCGGTCCGGGGAGGGAAGGCCGAGCAGGCGGAGAGCGGAGACCGGCGGTGACGGCTGCGGCGGCGGCGACGACGGCTGGGCCGAAACTTTCGGACCAAGAGAGGCATTACGACCGGCGGCAGGACACTCAACAGTAGCACCCCCAGAACCAACACCCCCAGAGCGAGAACCCTCTCCAACACCAGCGGCACCACCAGAAGCCGCCAGACGAACACCCTCCTCCACACCAGCACCTCCAGGGGCCAAGAGCGGCAGCGGCAGTGGCGGCGACGACTGCGGCGGCGACGGCTGCAGCGGCGTCGGTGACTGCGACAGTGGGGGCAGAGGCACCGGGGAAGGGGGACGCGGCAAGGACAGACTAGGGGAACCACCAGAGTTAGCAGACTCCTCAACGGGGACAACCGACGGGAGGGGAGTAACGTGAGAGACACCCGACGGGGCAGGACGAGGCGGGAGAGGAGCAGGGGCTACCGGGGGAGAGGGAGCGAGGAACAGGGGCGGGGCAACTGGGAGACCTCGGTAGGGGAAGCGGCGGTAGAAGGAGACAGACTCGTCAAAGGTGACGTCACGAGAGTGGAGGAAGCAGTGAGACGGCAGGTGGTAGAAAAGCCAGTCAGACGAGTCCAGGGGAAAACCGAGGAAGACACAGGGGACAGTGCGGGCAGTGAGCTTGTCCGTGCCAGAGGCATGAACGTGAGCAAGACAGCCCCAGACGTGGAACGCAGACGCGTCACCGGGAGACCCGGTCCAAAGGAGGGTCGGCGAAATCTGCGGCCGCTGGGAGCGTGGCCACAGGTTAAGCTGGTGAGCAGCGTAGCGAACAGCGAACGGCCACAGAAAATGGGGGGCATCGGCATGGATCATGGAGGTACGGGCGACCTCCATGACCAAGACGATGCGGCGCTCAGCAACCCCATTCTGCTGTGGCGAGTCCGGCAAGGTGTACGACTGGGTGATGCCCTCCGCACGACATAACTGTCCAAGCCGACCAGAGGCAAACTCGCCGCCACGGTCAGAGTGGAGACACAACACGGGGAGACCGCGGTGGAGACGCGCAGCCACAACCCACGGGAGAAGAACGTCGGGCACGTCGGCCTTCCGCTCCAGGGGAAACACTGTGGTGTAGCGCGTGTAGTCGTCGACGAGCACAAGAAAGTAGCGCTCACCGAGCGGGCCGGGGACGGGGGCAGGGCCCCAAACGTCCAGGTGCAGGGTCTGAAGGGGGGCAGTAGCCGGGCGCAGTGAGGAGGAGTGTGGGGCACGGCGGAGCCGGCCCTCGACGCAAGGCGTGCACGGTGGCGCAGTCGAGGGAGGAAGGGCGGGGAGCGACGTAGGGAGACCTAAGACAAGTCCGTGTTGGGACATGTGACGCAGACGAGGGAGAGCAGGGTGACCTAAGCAGTGGTGCCAGAGAAGGGACGGGTGAGTGAGGGAACGACACGAGCAAGCTGTAGCAACCTGGGAGGACGCACCAACCGGAGAGGAAGCGGTGTCTAGGGTAAACAGACCGGACACCGGGTCCCGGGGGAACGTCGCAAGGGGGGAACCTGAGACAGCCTCAGAACAGACAGTGAATCGCTCGTGCCCGGGGAACGTGGTGGTGACGCCGAGGTCCTGGAGACAGCCGACACCAACCAGGTTCCTCGAGAACGAGGGAACATGGAGGCCTGTAAGGGAGCCCGAGGGAACTGCTGGACAGGGAAGGGACGTAGAATTGCGAGCGACGACAGGACCCGTAGAGGGGTAAGCGAGAGAGACGACAGCTGGCGTAGCAAGCGGCGTGAGCGCGGAACGGTCGCGGAAGAAGCAGGCAGAAGCACCAGAGTCGAGAGTGAAGGACAGCGCCGCAGTGGCGTGGCTAGACAAGCTAGGCAGTCCTACGCCTGACGCAGCACGGGAAGCTAGGCTACACAGCGGTGCAACACCTAAACTAGAGAACACAGGGTAATAAGATCCAGCAACACTAGCAGCGTCAGAGTACAAAGCATGCAAAGCAGCACCTATCTGATCCATGTCTAACTCAAAGATCGGCACGCCCTGGCGGAGCAGGCTGTGCCAGTCAGGGAGGTCCGGGGCCGGGCCAAAGCGACGACGAAACATATCGTCGAGGCGGCGGAAACAGCGGGCTGTCGGGTGCGGGCGGCGGCACAGAGTTTCGCGAAGGGGCCCAGTCTGAAGCTGGTACTGACAGGTCACAGCACCGGAGCCGCTGGTAGACGCCAAGCTACGCGGGCCGCCACCACCGCCACCACCTCCTAAGGTGCCGGGCCAACCAGGCGGGAGGCGAGCCCATTGCTGCGGCGGCTGCGGCTGGGACGGCGGCTGCTGCTGGGACGGCGGCTGCGGCACGGGCTGCTCCTGCTGCGGCTGGGGCTGCTGCTCCTGACCACCAAAGCTAGTCCCACCAGACGGACTACTCTCACGACCACCAACACCACTACCGGCGCCACCACCCCTACCACCCTGGCGACCACGGCCACTGCGGCGCGAGCGCTGCTGCGGGTGGACCGCAACAGCCGTCTCAGTGAGGGGGGTTGCCGCGGCGACCGCAGCCGAAACGTCAGTGAACGTGCACTGGGAGGGGGCACAGCCGTGAAAGATAGAGACTGCCGACGCACCGCTCGACTGAGCGATAGTGCGCTGGCGAGTCTCGATCTCGGTGAGGGTGTCGACAAAGGCAGTGAGAGTGAGGTCAGCCGGGTGCAGGCTAAGGAAGTGATCGCGAGCACTAGCGAGGCGGTCTGGCAGGCGCATGGCGATAAAATAGAGCGTCATGCAGAAAGGGCGGGGGAGCGCAGTGAGCTGGGCAGCAGTGCTAGCAGTGCGATAACGGGTCTCTAGGGCACACATGTGAGTGGCAAAGTCTGCGACAGTAGGGAAAGCTGCAAGGTCTGGGAAAAGCATAGGGAAGAGCAGGCGACCAGCAGAAGCAGACGCGGGTGTGGAATAGCGGGCAATAGTGGGCAAGTAAGCTTTGGCCATCTCAAGAGTAGCAAAACGCGAGCGCTCAGAGACAGGGAGGGCGTGGCTAATGGCAACCTGAGCGATTGCATCGCGGGAGTCCCAGACTGCACTGGCAAGCGCAGCAGTAGAGAATGTCTCACGGTCAACAGAGGAGGGATCAGCAGGGAGGGGAGCAGGTGTGGGGGGGCGGGGGAGCAAGCCGTCGACATGGACGACCAAAGAGTGGCCATCCTGACGCTGACCTGTAAGGTGGCGGCGGAGATCGGAGAGCCAGGCAGCGAAGTCAACCGCATGGCCCTCGGCGTCCAGTCGGAGCACGAAGTCCGCCATCGTGCAGGGTCAGCGGCACAGCTCCACAGGAACACAGCGACATTCCCCTCCAGCACGGCAGCCACGAAACGCCTCAGCACGGGCGAGCAGAGGAGACGGAGCCCGAGGCGGCGAGGCAGGACGAGCTGGGCGAGGCAGGCAGGGCGGGGCGAGGCAGGGCGAGGCGCGGCGGGACGAGCTGGGCAGGAGGCGCGGCAGGGCGAGGCAGGCGCGGCGGGGCCAGGAGGCGTGGTAGGGCCAGGCAGTCGCGGCAGGGGCCAGGCAGGCGCGGCGGGGCCAGGCAGGCGCGGCGGGGCCAAGCAGGGGCGGCGGGGCCATGCAGGCGCGGGGGGGCCAGGAGGCGCGACAGGGCGAGGCAGGCGCAGCGGGGCCAGGAGGCGTGACAGGGCTAGGCAGGCGCGGCAGGGCCAGGCAGGCACGGCTGGGGCTAGGCAGGCGCGGTGGGTGCTAGGAGGCACGAGGGGCCCAGGAGGGGCGCGACGGGCTAGGAGGCGCTACAGGGGCCCAGGAGGGACGCGACGGGCTAGGAGGCACACGGGGCCTAGGAGGCACGAGGGGCCCAGGAGGGGCACGACGGGCTAGGAGGCGCGGCAGGGGCCCAGGAGGGGCGCGACAGGCTAGGAGGCGCGATAGGAGCCCAGGAGTGGGGCGACGGGCTAGGAGGCGTGATAGGAGCCCAGGAGGGGCGCGACAGGGCCTAGGAGGTGCGGCAGGGGCCCAGGAGGGGCGCGACGGGGCCTAGGTGGGGGCGGCGCGACGGGGCCTAGGTGTACGCGCGACGGGGCTTAGGAGGCACGGGCGGAAGCGGTAGGTGGGGGGGGGGGGGGTCGAACCTACGGGTGATACCATGTCGAGAAGAAAATTGAACAAGTGTTGTTGATAGAGAGAGAGAACAAGGGTATATACCTAAGAGTGTTGTACCCTCTAAGAGGTGACCCTATACAGTTTATACAAATATGAGTTATACATATATTTGACAACCAAGGCCTAATTTTGGATTTTTACTACTCTGATATTGGGGAGTGGCATTTCGCATTACTCTGAAAATCAGAGTGCATCCTCACAGTTTCTCTGATTTGCCAGGGTTTTTTTCCATTTTGAAAAATTTACACTGATAGTGCAGAGGGGAAATTTCCACAACTCTGTGCTACTGGTGTGCACCCTGACAAAGGTTTGTGATAGACGTACGCTTCATTTCAAACACATACATACATTAGTCACCATGCTCATCCGCGTCTCCCTCTGAGGCACTCTCACAAGAGCCACTGTCCTCCTCTGACTCATCGGACTCATCATGCTCCTTGCCCTTGGCAGCATTGCTGCTCCTCTCATAAGCCACTACTTTTGCCTGTCTGCGGTTCTTCTGGCGTCTCCAGATCTCCACGATCTCAGGGTATTCCATGTCGTACTCCAGGAGGATAATGGTCATCAGGTCGCTGAGTCTTGCATCACACACGCTCGTCCTCAGCCAGCTGTTGACGGCGTTCTGCCTGCTGAAACCGCGCTCGCACTCGACGGTGCTCAAGGGCAGAACCGCCATCGCTTGCCAGATCCTCATGAGATTCGGATAGCTCTTGGCCCAATCCCTCGTCTTGAGCATGTTGGCGAGGCCTTGGCCGAAGTCGTCATCAACACGGTGCGTCTTCATGATGTGACAGAAAGTCTTTAACTCCAGCTCAGCTGCTCGACCATCCACTCCTGTGGAAGCGCTCGGGCGGGATTCGAGACATGGAAAGCGAAAACATCGATTAAGAACCATGATGGTGTTGCCACCGTTTTATAAAACATGGATACTTGTATCTTCATATAGCGAGACGACATTGTGAGTGCTTGGGATACGTGCATGGAGGGTTCGAAAACATACATACCAGGTAGCTTGTTGTCAAACAGCTCCAGGTTCGACTTGACCCAAGTGCGCGCTCTTGGCGGACTTCCTGCTTCCCGGACTTCCTGCTTCTTCGGCCATGTGTCCACCTTGTACAGCTTCGATCCGGCCATCCGCTTCAGATCCCACATCCTCTGGTTCCGGTTCTGCACGGTGTCTTCAGCGAAGGCAGTGCACAGCGTGATGCAGGCCGCCTTGGTGCCACCGTACTTGTGACCGGGCAGGGCGCCCGTCGTCATCCGCGCCGTGCACCACCACCTTGCCTCCATTCTTGTCATAGCTCTGCAGAAACTTGCTGAGCCGCTTGCTCAGCCCCGCGCCGAAGGTCTCGCCATACTCCACGTAGCGATGCTTGATGTACGTGACAGTGCGGTCGACCTCCTACGAGACAAGGGTGATGTCGACCTGATGTGAGGGCGGGGTAATAAAAGCAGGGGGAAGATGCGAAGCAGATAAGTTATTGTCGAAATTGAAGAAAGTCCACAATCCAGCACATGACAACAGGCCACCGGCGACATGAAACACAGAGACCAACGGGATAAAGGATAAAAACATACCGACCGCTTCTGGAAAAACATGTCGAGCGTGTTGAGCTCAGCGAGGATGTCAGCCAAAAAGTATAGACAGAAGTGGAACTTGAGCGTTTTGACCACTGGAACCAGCTTGTGGTTGTACTCGATGAGCACAGCGATTACAGCGCCGAGGATCCTGCAGAGTCATTTTACGGCAACGGACTCAAAACGTCGGGGCTGCAAGGGGGAAGACAAGTGTGGCTCGACCTGCATGAACTCACCGATGTGCAATACAGTGGCAGCCAACGAGATGCGGAATGCGCACCCGAAGACGCGCTACCAGACCGTTGTGCTCTCCTGTCATGACAGACGCCCCATCCGTGCTGATGCCCGCCACCTTGTGAAGTTCGATGGCGCAAGAGTCTAGGTGCCTGAGTAATGCCGTCTGCAGAGCTGCTGCGTCGCACTTGTCGAGAGTAAGCAGCGTCAGGAACTCTGTAATGACTCGCCGCTTCTTCAGGAACGTCGCAAAGACGATGAGGTGTTTGCTATGGGTTCTGTCAGTTGACTCGTCGCAGCTCTATCCGATGAAGGGTGATGCGTGGATGTGCTGCATCTGCTGTGCTTTCAAGTACGCCACCATTGCGCGCACCATTTCCTTGCAGCCATATCTGCACTTGGAAGGGCATGGATAAGCCGGAATTAACTCGATGATTGATACGACAGCGGAGCAGTCACAATTTCACCAAGAAAGAGTACCGAAAATCATGAGCCACCCCGGTACTTACTGCATGATGTAGACGCCATAAGTCTACTTCGGAATGTCCTTAACACCCTCCTCTGCCATGAACCCGACGAGCCGCATGAACATGGCGATCGGGGCATCCTCCTTGTATATGAACAGCATAGTTTGAAGTAGACGAATGATCCTCGCGCCGTCAGGGTCGTGCTTCCCGAAGTCCTCCATTTTCTTCTGATTCTCGACCTCCTTCAGGTCTCTTGCTTCTTGACGGCGTTCTCGTGCCTTGTGCTCTCCTCATGCCTACGCATCGAGCCAATCTGGAGATCCCGTCCACCAGCACCGTTGCGCCCGTATCGTGCGTGGTCTTTGCCGTGCTCCATGCAGTACTGCAACGCAAGCAAGGTGCACCATCGTTAGTCTTATCCAGCACTAGCCAGGGGAATTTCGGTAACCAGTCGGCAGTGTACTTCCGTTGCGCGGCAAGATAGGCCTTCGCCATCTTCTCGGCGGGGGTTAAAGAAGCCGAAGGCAGTTCCTGTGGCACGGGCTCTAGCTCTGATGGTGGCGGAGGCGTAGGGGGAGGCGTCGCGAACGGGAGATAAGTCTGGTTGAAGCGACGCTTCCTTTCCGAGGCAGACGCAGGAGTTGAGGCAGGAGTTGATGCCGTTGATGTGGACGCTGGAGTTGATGCAGAGACAACAGGTACAACTGAAGGTTCGGCGACAGGACCTTCAGCGTCAACCATAGCCTCTAAATTTCTGTCCCATTCCTCACTACTGAGAGAAGGCAGAGGCTGTGGCGCAATTGGAGCGGTAGCAACTCGACGGAGAAAGTCGAGCCCGCTAAGAGGGAGCGATCTAGGAGTTCGCAAAAGGACAGACTCGTCGCCACCGCCATCGTCGGGCTCACTCGTGCCAGCCATGACGGCAGTGGCACGAGTGACGACGGGCGGCAGCGACGGCGAAGGTAAGCGGAGGTTTTCTTGTGCTAGGACATTGTGAGAGAGATTTGGTGAAGGAGAGGAAGGGAAGGTTGAACAGGACGAGGGTTTCGTTTGCTCTTTTTGGGGGTGAGTGAATTGTGGGGCGCCTCGGAGTGGGTGAGGGAGTGAGGTCGGTCGTGCATGCATGGATGGTGGCTAAGGTCAGCGTGCGGTGGTGAGGGAACTGCTGCCAGCCTTGCAGTGATGCTGCAGTCGTGACTAATCAGCGCGGAGGATGCTGCCAGCAGTGGCAAGGATGGCAGCATATGACGTGCCACTGCCTGGCGGTACGCGTAAAATGACGCGTATTGCGGGATATTGGGGCAAGGCCAGGTACAGGGTACAGGGGAAATCTACAGGTATACCCCCTATACACTAACCCTCAGAGGGGTACAAATGGTTACTCTGATATAATCAGAGTAAAATAAAACCTCAACTTTTTTACTCAGGGCACCTAGAGTAGTTTTCAAAAACGACTCTGATTTTCAGAGAAACAGAGTAAATTACTCTGATAAAATAGGCACGGCCAGTGACACGAGTACCAGCGGCAAAAAATAAGCACTAATCGCACCCCATATAGCCACATGCCCCTCATCCACACCTCGTTTGTCCAACTCCTGTTCTCTTCTCTTCCATGCCTCCCGCGTTACTCTCCCTTCAACCGCCTCCCACGAACCCTACCCCACATCAAGTCACGCACCCCAAACTGTGCACCTCTCAACGAGAACAAGATTTTGCTCGCCTCCCCTCCAAGCTTCCCCCCATCCCCATGCCCATGCTTCACACTCCTCTCTCCCTCCTCCTCGCTCCCCCCCTCACTCGCTTCATCCACAGCGATCCAGCCCTTCCCCCCTCCCGTGGTTGAGATCGGGCTATCAGCACAAGGATCGCCAGAATCGCTGCTGGGGCTGCCGTTGCTGCTGCAGCCACTGCCACCAAGACAGCTAGAATTGGTGGTGCTGGAGTCTATGGCATCCACGTCAGCAGCAGCACCAGCAGCAGCAGGGGAAGCCGAATCAACCTCTCCAGCTGCAGCAGCATCAGCAGAAAGGGCAGCAGCAGCAGAGTCAGAAGCACAGGTGCCGCTCTTCTCAGCAAAGGCAGGAGCAGCAGCGAGAGCGGCAGCAGCGTCATCCTTATGCAGCAGCAGCAAGCCCTGGACTGAAGCCGGGCTCACAGCCCGCTCCCCAAACAGCGCTGCAAACCCGTCCGCTACCTCTGAGGGCGAATCCGGAAAGAAGCGCAGAAAGAGCTGCGCGATCTGGCTCTGGGTGGCACGGTCCAGCAGCAGGCGGTAGTCGATTCGGCCGGGGCGAATGAGCGCGGGGTCGAGGCGCTCGATGTGGTTAGTAGTCATTATGAGGATGCGCTTCTCCTGCGCCCCGATGCCGTCGATGGCGTTCAGCAGCCCCGAGAAGGACAGGCTGTCGGAGCAGTTGCCGTCGGCTTTGGAGCGGTCTGCGGTGAAGGCGGCGTCGATGTCCTCCAGGACCACCAGGTTGCGCTGGTCGCAGTTGGCCATGGCCGTGTGCAGCTGTAGTGGAGGGCGGGAGGGATGCAAGGGATGGGAGGGGGAAAGGTGAGAGGACCGAACCACAAAAGAATATACTTGGATAGCGGGCACGGTTGCATGAGGGAATGCTGTGGGACGAAGAGAAGTACGAGAGAGGGAGATGGTAGCACCAGGCAGACTGACAAAGGATCACCACAAATCCTGCCCCCACGTACCAAGTCACCACCCATGCAATCTCTTACCGAGTCATCACTCATGCCAGACGACGACAGGCTGATGACCGACACGCCCAGCCCCAGCTCCCCCGCCATGGCCTGAATTAGGGACGTCTTGCCGCACCCGGGCGGCCCGTGGAACAAATACCCCCTCCTGTGGGGAATCCCCCGGTCCGAGTACCACTTGGCGGCTGCAAGGAACTCTCTCGCGTCGCCCAGCAGTGCTGACGTGTCGCAATCCAGGACCACGCTGGACATTGGACGGACCTGCTTGTTCCCCAACCACCGCCAGTTGAACTGCTTGCAGTTCCAGCGATGAACGGCTGTGATTTGCTCTTCCTGCTGCTTTGCCATGGCTGCATCTGTAGCGGCTTGTAGCACCGCCTGTAGCACGACTTTGCTGGGAGCGTCTATCACCAGCTCTTCCCGACCCATTGACCGGATCAGCTCGGAAAATTCCGCCTCGCTGTCAAGCTGCCCGGGGCTGTTCTTCATCTGGAAGAAAACTTTTGAGCCCTGGAAGGTGATATGCTGGGCAGCTTTGAGCTTGGGCATAAATTTGAGTTCAGGCTTCTCGTGATTTGAGCCCGATCCGTCATTGTCCTGCCACTTAATCTGCAGGGAGTATTCCGACGGCTTTAATGTCTTGTAAGAGTCCAGCCACTCCTCCAGCCACTGAAACGCCTGGGTCTCCGGGGAGATGCTAATAGACACGTTCCCGCGCCGCATTAGGAGGCTCCATAGAACCTGCCAGTAGGACATCAGGGTCCGGCCGAGTAACCCGAGCGCGACGAGCCATAAGCTGCCCGCGAAGAAATCGTTCTGCAGATACTGACGAAGAATGCCGTCCAGGATAGGCGACGCGGCGCCGACGAGGGTAGTGGCGAAAGGGTGGAGAGGGGAGACTGGCGAGAGCGTGGCATTGATGACGGTTTGCGCGAGGAAAAATGCCGGCCGGTTGTGCAGACGGATAGCCGTCAGGTTGAACATGGAGGTGGCATTGTAGGCGGAGAAGTCGGAGCCGTTGAAAGGAGCATCTAACGGTGCAGAAGCAACGGGCAGCTGACCACCGAAGATGCCGGGTTGAGCGGGCAGATTGACCACCGCCGAAGCGAGTAAATCCATCATGCTTCCGGTTCCGACTATCTAATCGACGAGCAGCCGTTAAAAGTTCCAGTTCTTAGGGTAGCGCCAACAATGCTGCAGCGAGGAGCATCCAGCAAGTACCAGTAGCTACCTGAACCGCTAGTCCTCGGCGGGCTCGCAGCCAATCTGGGGCATTACTGCTGTAGCTTTTCAGGAAGCTCCCTGCATGCGGCAGATGTGAGATCGCTGGTGGTGACGGCGACTGCTGCCTGATGGTGATCGCCATTCTTCCCTGTCTAATTATATACAACTTCTGATCGCTGCATATGAGTCCTCCTTAGGGGGAGGCAGATGCCTACGGCGACTACTCGGAGGGACGAACAAGGCAAGGAACTCGAGTTTCGCGCCAACCTACACGCGGCTCGAGGGGATTCGACAGAGGCGTGAAGAAGAAGCAATGGCGGAACGAGGAGTAGATCGGAAAACGGGAGAGGAGGAAATGTCGAAAAAGACCTCGCGAGTTGATAAATTCCCGCCATGGAGACAACCCAGCTTGTCATTCACGCGACAATCCCAATGCCGCAACACTAGGCGAGTGTTCCGCCTGGTTACTCGCGACAAACCAGAGACCGCGGTTGACCTGGTTTGGAAACGTTTAGGTTGGGTTGAGTGAGATTCCCTCGAATGTGCGAAAAACAGTGGGTTGACCTGGTTTGGAATCTGAAGGAGACTGAAGCTAACGCGGGCTGGCGGGGTTCCGCTCACCGTCTGCGGGAGGGGAACTGTGCTGATGTGGCAGAAGATGAGGGGAGCGCGGGGTTAATTAGACGGGAGAGAGGTGCGGGGAGGGGTGATTGGGTTAGGCGCGTGCGCGCGGGTCACGCGGATGCGGAAAGCCAGTTTGCGGAAGAGGCGCGTTCGGATTGGGCGGACAGCGTGGCGGGTTTCGGGTTTTGCGTAACTAGTTCGCGTGAACCTGAAGCCATCGCCGAGTGTATTTGCACGAGTAGAAGTGCTGGTAATCAGAATGCGAAAGGTGGCGAAGTGCCGATGATACACATGAGTCTCTCTACATGTTACTGAATTCGTGTCATCAGGCGAAAGTCTGAAAAGATGCCTGCGCGACGAGCCAGGCGTGGCCCAGCGGCAAACCGCTGATTGAACTGCTGCCTCGAGATCACTGACATCCATACCAAACCATCATCCAAGTTTCTGCCTGGCACCATTTTCTCGTAGAGCCGGTCCTCTTCTTGGAATGGTTCAAGTCAACTTATACTACGCTCACTTCCTCGATTGATCATTGTCTACACCGACGTACAGAAGTAGTATATGGTATAACGAGTCATACCACTCTCCAACCTTCATCAGTCTACAGTGTGCTGTTTACGTCAGCACTGGCACTGACTGTTTCCTCGTTAGGTCACGCCAGGTCCACATCAGACGTTGACCGTTACTGGTGAGGATGTCTCTCTCGTTACGGGGCTTCCGCACGAGTAACCTAGCGAGCGGATCGGCGGCCCCTGATGCCCGTCGTTTCTCAACCCTCCGCCCCTCCTCCCCACGCGGCTGTCCACGTTCCCTCCGCTGCGCTTCAGCCAGCCTTTCATCGCGTTCCTTGCGTGCTCTCCCCTCGACCGCTAATCACGCGGCGCTTCCATGCTCTAGAACCGCGCTCGGCGCTACGACGCGCCACAGTGACCCCTGTCAACCCCGTTGCGCAGACAGAACGAACAGCACACGGAGCAACAGCATTAGAAACCCAGGTACTTGGAGCGGCAGCAGCTGCAAGGGGCAAATCGTGAATGATGAAACCAAGGGCGGGAGACAGAGACTGCTGCCACCCCTTAGAGCCGAATCAATCTCTTCTAGAAGCATCACTAACGACGAGCTGCCATGGCAAAGCAAAGCCACAGCAGGCTGGCGCCCCGCAACCCCTCAGGCAGGCTGGCTCGCATCCGCACTCATAGCAGCCGTAACGTCCGTGCTGTTCCCTCTCCCCGTCCCACTCTTACCACCGCCTCGCCTCTCAGCCCACATTCCATCACCTGCAGCACACGAGGTGGCGGAGCAACGCAGTGCAGGTGGCGCAACGCATTCAACATTGAGCGAGCTCATCAGCAGCCTGCAGTCGGGGAGCAGATCAACGGCTCTGGCCGTGCCGTTCAGTGGGGCCTCTGCGCCACTGCCCTCCGAGACATTTGACAATGTGCCGCAGACGCTGTCAGGTGCGCTCACTGTCCTCTACTCCGAAGTGTGCAGTCGGGGAGGAGTGCAGTGGCCCTTGTGGCGCCCACCTTTCTCTGTCCCTCTCTCCTCCCTCTCCCACCTATTCCCTCCCTTCACCGTCCCTCCGCACTGGTGACTTCTGAAACGACTCAAATGTCACTTTCCTTTCTCTGTCCTTCTCCCCTACCTCTTCCTCCCTCGCTTTCACATCAACAGAGGAGGACAGGAAGCCGCGGCGCATTCAGAAGCCCAAGTCACCAACAGCGGAGAAGTGCCTCCGCAAGTGCGTGGGCACGTGCATCCGAGGAGGGGCGGGTGCACCTGGGGAAGGACCCATAAACGTTGAGAGGTGAGGCCGTTGCTAGGCTGGAGTGACCTTGTGGGCGATAGATTTTTATCCTGTTCTTTGATTTCAGGCCTCAGGCAGTTGTTTCAAGGGCTTGCCATCCAGCGCAATCCTTGGCAGCCCATCTGAACTCATTTTGAGAACCCTGTGCTGCCCCCTTTCAGGCCCATTGTGGTTTTCAAGTCCGAATTCCGGTCAAGACAGTACTGGTGAGTTGCATCTGAGAGGTGAAGCCAATTTGTGGAGGCAGTGCCACAGACAAATTGTTCCTCCCCTGCATATTTGCTCTATTCTCCAGCCCTATTTTTTCCTAATTATTCTCCTCTGACATATTATTCCTCCTTTCTACCATGTCCCCCTCCTCATGTTCCGATTCCGCTATGTTGGCTGCAGTTTAGTGGAATGCAGTGAGATTTGCAACCTTTTGCCGGATGGAAAGAGCAAGCCTTGATACTGTTTCACTGCCACTTAGTTCACAAGAGACCAATCCTTCGTTTTTGTACTGCAACAAAATGTGTTTGTGTGACAAGTATCACGCTGAGTGTACATTTGTTTTGCGTACAGACGCTGCTCACAACTTCTGAAGGAAATGATATATTATAATAGTGAAATTTTGAGCATTAACTTTTGCATGTTAGACTCATTCGTACAAGACCATTCGTACTGCTACATTTTTTTATGCAGTTCCAGCGGTTAGCCGAAATCCTCGGCTGCACTGTTGCTCGCACCTGGAACCTATCCCAGTTGCTGGCAAGTATGGGGCAACGCCTGGCGAGTGTGGCTGGTGTACCCAGGCTATGAGGCCCACCTGGTAGCAGTTCATTGTGGCTCCGAGTCTCCGAGACCTTGTCCCCAGCAGAACCAGTTGCTCGCAGACTCCTTTTTCGCCAGCTATTCGCGAGCGAGTATGGGTTGTCAATGCAGTCTCTCCAGGGGACTCGCAACAGTGGGAGGACACGGCCCATGTCGTTCACTGGAGTTTGGCGACAGTAACATATGTGACTATGTCGGGAAATTATTGGCGATGGGTTCATGGACGAACAGAATGTGTCCCGTCAAAGCTCGCGAACCATTGTGATCGATGCGCCTCGGCTGAGGAAATTGACTGGAAATGTCTGGCACCTGGATGTTGTGCCAGGAAATTTGCGCGCATCTGTGATTCCAAATCTGCATTTTTGGCGCAGCGTCGGATTAGGAGCGTCCAACCAACCCCATAGTTCCATTCCAACTGACAGCTATTCCAGCATTTGCCATTCCCCCATTTGTTCCCTCCCCCCCTACACCCCGTCATTCACGTGCACCTCCCCCCACCGCCACTCCACAACTCACCCTAAAATGCCAAGGCCTGCAGAGAACAAGGCCCCAAGGTTTATGTCCCTTTTCGCCTCGCACCTCAAAGCGCACCTAGCTGAGCTTGATCTCTCGACGTCTAAGTGATTCTGGTCGACCAACCTTCTGATTTTGCCGAGGACCCTAGAATCTTCCTTCTAGGACAGCGCAAGCCGCTGCTTACAAACGCAGTTCACTAGTTGCCGCATTTCAGTTCTACTAGTAATCGGCACTTCGCTTTCATGCTGTTGGCTCACGACTGAGAAGTTTCCTAGGAGAGAAATGGCAGGCCACGTTATTCACAGGCGCCGACTTAAATTTTCAATATTCCTTCTCCTTATACTCGCCTCGTCACTCCTCGTAAACCCACTAGCTTCCTCTCGAAGAAGCCTACACCTAGCTGACGCGGCCGACGTTCCGAACCCTAAAGAAACGAAGTTCAGGCGAATCCAGTTCTCGCAAGCGGAGCTCAATGCCGCCGCAACTCTTCGCGGCGGAGAGAAAAGGCTCCGCACCCCACGCGGAAGCGGCGGACCGGCGCAGGTGTCTCAGCGGGAGCGCACGGAGGCGCCAACCGAGCTCCGCACGAACCTCAATGGCGCTGCGATGAAAGTCGCGTCGCTAAGCGAGATGCTCCTCGTACGCCCGCGCGGCGCGCCGCAGGCTCAATCCGCCGCCGCGGCGAAGCAATCGTCGGCGGAAGCGGAAGCTGTCGCGCACTGCCCACAGTTCGAACCATGGTGGGGCGCGCTTTCCGCCATCTCCGCGTGCAAGTGGCGCAGACCCGACTCCGCCGTCCCCGCGGGTCCCTCCTCTCCATCCACCGCGCTGCGCCTGTTTATGGTCGATTTCCTAGAAGACAAGCGTGGCCGCGCGGTTGAGCGCGAGTGCCGCGATCGGCGCTGGATCTGGCCGCGGCCGCTCGTGACGGGCGGGGAGGTCTGTGTCGACGAGGAGGACGAGCTTCGCGTGGACGGGGAGGATATTAACGATGATGACAATAACGACGAAGAGCTCCCGGAGCTGGTGGGCGCGGCGGAGCTGATGAAGCGCGTGCGCTCGGCGCTGGGGCAGAGGCGCGGGGAGCAGCGGTCGCGGCTGGAGGCGAACGAGGCGGATGAGGTGGGAGAAGTGGGCGCACTGGGGGGCGGCGGAGTGCTGCGCTTTAGCGACGTGTTTGTTAACTCTAAAGGGACCGTCTTTAACGAGAGCCACGTGTTTGCCGTGGACGCGTGCGGGCGGGGGCAGTGGCAGCCGCAGGGCGGCGCACAGAACGCGCTGAGAGAATCGATCTCCTTCGCGCCGGGGACTCGCGTGAGCGTGCACGAGCACCTGGTAAATCTCCTGCCGTACGAGCAGGAGGAGGCGGAGCAGCAGGCGGAAGAGGTGGAGGAGGCGGAGATGGCGGAGCGGGGGCTACGCGGGACGGACTGGGTGGCGCAGGCGCGGCTGCACAACGGCAAGGAGCGGCTGCTGGCACGGCTGCTGCCCGCGCTGTACCTGGTGGCGACCGCGCTCATGCCCGCTGCGAGGCAGTACCCGCTGCTGCTGAGGAGCGAACATGTAAGCCCCACCAACATCTAGGTCATGCCGTAAGGTACCAGTATCTACCGAGTGAGGCGCTGCAGCACGCCTCACCTTGCCGTAAGTCTGCGCCCCACACTCCTACCGAGTGGTTCCAGTGCCATGGCTGATCCTTTGCGTGGGAATGCCGGAAGCTGAGGGGGAAACATTGTGTGTGACATAGAACATGAGCATCTGGTTGCAGACCTTATCAGCTTCGTCCCCGCCCCCTTCTATCCCCTCGAAGCTTTTGGGGCATCTGACTCACGGCACTTATCAGCTTCCTCTTGATCTCTATGGTTACCTGCTTCCTGCCCTTGTACTACCCCCTCCACTATAATCACGTGCAGCTTCTGGAGCATCTGGGCCGCAGCATATTCGGGGTGGACCTGGGGTCGCTGTCCGTGCACCACCTGCCGGCCAGCAGACAGCATCGTGAGGGCCATCGCCACCTCTTCTACGCGCAGACACTGTTCATGGTACGCTCGGGCACTGTTCATGGTACGCTCGGGCACTGTTCATGGTACCTACTCTGCTCTTGGCCTCTTCTCTGGCACTGCCGATTCAGCATGCCCATGGATTGCTTCCAACGCTCACCTGCACGCCCCTCCCCACCCTAAACCCCACCCTTTGTCCCACCTCAACCCATTACTAAGCCCCCTCTCCCTCCCCACCCCCCACCCCCCCTCTCCCTTTTCTCTTCCCCCTCCCCAACCCCCCAACAGCCCGTCCATGCCAGCAGCGTGTGCGGCCTCTCCTCCTCTGGCCGCCCGCGCGCCCCCGACGCCCTGTGGCTGGCCCTCCGCGGCTTCCACCTGCTGCCGCCGCAAGGCCTCCCCATCCTCTCCCCCGACTGGACCCCCCGCATCCCCGCCTCCGCCTCCCAGTCCGCCCCGCCGCCCCCCCACCCGCTGCACCATCTCGTGGTGGGGCGGACGCTGCCGGACGACTGGGTGGTGGTGGTGTCGATGGTGTGGAGCGCGCACGTGCTGCAGCGCGGCGGGGGCGGCGTGGGCGACGGGAACGCCCGCACGGCGGCGACGCGGCACACGGAGGAGGCCATGGCGGCGATAGCGGTGATGCTGCGCGAGATGTACTCTGAGGCGCGCGTGGTGGTCTACGAGGAGCACCTGCCGCTGCGGAAGGCTAAGGCGCTGTTTTCCCGAGCGATTCTGCTGGTGGGACCCACGTCGCCTGCGCTTTCGAATCTGATCTTCATGCCGTTCAATTCGACGGTGATTGAGATCCTGCCGTACGTTGTCAACCACACGTCAGCCGGTGGTAACCAGGCTGGGGATCTGCAGCAGGAGGGGAAATCTGGTGGGAATCCGTTCAACCAACAGAGCACTGCCACGTGGCACTACAGGCTGTCGGAGCGGGTCGGCGTGCATCACCTCCTGTCTGTGTGCGATCCTGAGAGGAGCCACATGGAGGACAGCGAGATGTGCCACGTGGACGAGGTGTACGCCACAGTAACCGCATCCCTGCGGAAGAACCCAGTGTTACGGGAAGCAACAGGGTTACCACCCATCTCCTTCCCTCCTGATGACGTCAGCCGACTGGGTGATTTCCGGGATTTCATCCCGGGATCGAGGCTGCGGAAGGGGACGGGCCAGGCGGCGGAGTTTCGGCGGTGGGCGGAGTGCGTGGCGGAAAGGGGGGAGTGGCGCTTCAACGCCACTCCGCGGGTGCTGCCCTGGCCGGAGCACGGGTCGGAGAAGTGTGACTCGGAATGGGAGGCTGCGGGGGGAATCGCGGGGTCCAAAGCGGATAAGGTCGCGGCACGTGGACCACCAGCCGCAGCCGATTGGAAGGTTCGAGATACGCTCAAATATGAGTGGGTGGTCCCAACAAACAAGTGTCCGAAGGTTACTAGTTTCGGAGCAGCCCAGCTGGCAGTGCCTAGTCCTGAGGTGCTGGACCCTCGGGAGTTACTCTCGAGGTTTGACGGTCGCGGCTTGTGCGAGCTGGCAAGGCGGAGGAAGGGTGGGCTGCGAATTGCGTTTCTCGGGGACTCCTTATCTCGGGAATCCCACGTCAATTTTGTGAACAACATCGTCAAGCATATTCCGAAGCCGGCAAACGTTATAACGAGGCGCAAGTGCATGACGTGGACAACCATCCTGGGATCGAAGGTGGACCTGACTTGTATGGGATACACGTTTGAGGGAGCTGGGTGCCCAGGGTTGAGTGTACACTATGTGGCTAACATGCGACTAATTCCGGTCAATGAGGAGAAGCTGGAGCGGATTCGATGGATCAGTACCCCTTGGATGGAGGTTCCTGGCATACGTGACTCAGATGTGCTTATCATCAACCGTGGAGCGCACTACAAGGTGAACGAAAACGTGGTGGAATCGGTGACAAGGATGATGCGCTTCATTCGTTACAATCACCCTGAGAAGCTCGTGATCTACAGGACCACGGCACCGGGCCACCTCAACTGCTTGGAGAACACCAAACCCCTAAAAGAGCGGCAGGATCCTAATCAGCTGCCTTTCAAATGGGGCAATTTCAAGCTTCAGAACGAGCTTGTGAAGTCTATAGTGGAGGAGAATGGTGGAGTGTACATGGATGTGGACCCTATGACGGCTCTCAGAGCAGATGGGCATAGGGGGGATGTGGGAGGCACACGGCTGGATTGCCTGCACTACTGCTCACCAGGGCCCGAGGATACATGGTCCCAGTTCATCTACAACATCATCATGAGGCTCCTTCCACCACAATAAATGTTAGGTGCTAGGCCTAGCCTAAAGCATCATTTGATCTTCATCCGATTATCTAATGAAATTTCCGTTGAAGGGCATTCCTCAGAGTGAGGGCCAGGATGCACCTTGTTAATGCTAATCTGGTCCTCATATGCGATGGTTCTTCAGTTACCAAATGAAGCTGGCCCTAAGTGCACAGGTCTATGTACAGCTATTATCAGGGCAATAACGAGTACGATCCTCACCGAACCTGCTGACCACCACCAACCAACCAGTTTCCAGCGAAGCGTCAAGCTTGAATGCGAAGCTGGCTCCATTCTGTCGGATTGTTTCCGCAGCTGGTTTTCAAGCAGGGACTCTAAAGAATATGATAGACGCGGACGCGAATCAGAATGATGCATTCACCTCGCCACCCCTCTTTCTAGAAGAGCACCAGCTTCAACGGGAAGCGAGCTTCAGAGTTCGTTGTTCGTCCTGTGTCTCCTTGAATCTCAGCGATTGCAGATTGTCTTTCCAATTCAGTCGCACAGTGTGTCGCCTGATGCGAGAGCGACGGTTACATGGCGACGATGCAATGTTCAGCGGCGCTACTACTAGTAACCGTCTGGGCTGAGAACGATTTTATAGAAAGACGTGCGACCGTTTTGCGAGATTGCAACGATTATGCAGCTATTATAGCCATTTGTAGCTTCGGACTAGTCTAGTATCTTCCCGATAGTCCCGGCCTCGTCCGTCATCATGACCGGGAGGTACCTCCTATGAAATTATTCTCCCTCTAACAACCACGTCGTCGCACTGTCGGCAATATCGAGAATTCTCTGGTCCTCTGAGAAATTATGCTCCCCCTAACACCCCATGTAGTATAGTCCAGCCATAGCATCGTCTAATATGGCTAGGGGGTACCTCCAACCACGTGGTCGCGCTGTCGGCAATATCAAGGCGTCTCTGCTCTTCTCATGGATCATTCTCCTCCTCACACCCCATCCGGAGCGTTCTAACCGTCCCCTGCACTTTACTGTACTTTCCGGTAGCGGAAACGGGTTCATTCTTAGCGGAGCATCGCATGCCGCGTCCGGCATCGACAGCGCCAAGCCTAGGCGAACGCGGGTGCTGCGACCAGACTCCGCTCCGCGGCTCCCCTTGCGCGCACAGCCCGCAGGTTCTACCGCTCCCGGGGCTCCGCAAATGCTCGCTCCGCTGCTCCGCTTCCGCCCACAGCCCGCGGAATCAGTGGAACCGGGCAGCACCAGGAGGACGCGGTGGCGGAAAGACAGGCGCGAACAAGCGCAGTATGAGGAGCAGAAAGATAAGCGGGACGAGCGGGACGAGCGGGAGCAGCGGGAGCAGCGGGAGCGGACCGGAGCGGCGGCGGCGCTAGAAGTACAGCTACAAGGATCGTCCATGGAGGTTCTACCGTTGGACGACCTCATTCGAGCGCCAAGAGGCGCGCAGCAGCTGCAGTGGCAGCAAGCGCAGCAAAGGCAGGCTGCTGACGTGGCATCTTCGCCAGGAATGTGTCCGGATTTCCAGCCGTGGTCGTTCTTCGCGCCTAACCCCCCCTCGCCGCACATCCACGCGTGCTCCTGGCGGCCCATGTCAGACGGCAATACGTCTACTGTTACCGTTGCAGTCAGCAAGCGCGGTAACAGCGCTGGAACTGACTCCAGCGGCGACAGCAATGCGGTTCTGACCGGACTGTCTGAATTCATGCGGCGGTTTCTGGCGGACAGGGAGAGTGGAGCGCACGGCAGCAGCAGCCGCGCAGTGCAGCAGGACTGCCGGCACTGGAAGTGGCTGTGGCCGCGCCCCCTGGTGACACGTGGCGAGCTGTGTTTGGACGAGGACGAGGTGCGGGGATTCGTCATAGAGAGCATGCAGAAGGAGCAGATGCAGCAGGCGCAGGCGCTTTTGAAGGATAAGAAACGAAGGCTGGGGATTCAGGGGCTGCAGGGGCAGGAGGGGAGTATGGAGGAGGTTTTAGAACCAGATCCTGGGGAGGTCTTTAAGCGCACCCAGGAGGCGATTAACTCCATCTTGGCGGCGCGGCAGGAGCGGGTAGTGAGTAGTAGCAGCGGGGGGCAAGAGGAGGAGGAGGAGGAGGAAGGGATGGGCGTGATAGGGCAAGGCGGGGTGGTGATGCTGAGAGACGTGTTTGTGGACGGCAGAGGCGCCGTGTTCAATGCGACCCATGTGTTGGCGCTGCATGGGGCGTGCACGAGGGGAGGCGGCAGGAAGAGACAGCAAGCAGCAGTGCAGAGAGTGAAGAAGGTGAGGCGGGCGGGTGGGGGTGTTTGTGATCGGTAGACGCACCGTGTTTAATGCGACCCATGTGTCCATGCGACCCGCTCCCCCGCTCCCCCGCTCCCCCGTTTTCCAGTCCATCCAGTATCCCCCAGGCACCCCTGTAAGCCTGCACGAGCACCTCGTGAACCTGCTGCCATACGAGCAGGAGGAGGACGGGGAGGAGGAGAGTATGAACCCGGAGGCAGCAGCCAGTGGCAGTGTGCAGGGGGGCGAGTGGGTGGCACAGGCACGCTTGCACAGCGCCAGGGAGCGGCTGCTGGTGCGCCTGCTGCCCGCGCTCTTCCTGCTCTCCTCGTCCCTCATGCCCGCTGCACGGCACTTCCCCATCCTGCTGCGACACCGCCACGTGAGTTCAGGGGGACATGGGCACAAGAAGTGGTGTGTGGGGAGTGACCTGGTAGTGCGTGCACTGCTCTTCCTGTTCTCCTCGTCCCTCATGCCCGCTGCACGGCACTTCCCCATCCTGCTGCGACACCGCCACGTGAGTTCAGGGGGACATGGGCACAAGAAGTGGTGTGTGGGGAGTGACCTGGTAGTGCGTGCACTGCTCTTCCTGCTCTCCTCGTCCCTCATGCCCGCTGCACGGCACATCCCTATCATGTGATAAGACCCTCCCCTACGCTTACAACACCGTCATGTGATAAGACCCTCCCCTACGCTTGCAACACCGTCATGTAAGCGTAGGGGAGGGTGGTGAAGGAGTGTAGCCATTTAGCGTTTAGGGAAAGAGGACAAAAAAATCGACTCATACACATACCCACTGCACGGCACATCCCTATCATGTTACAACACTGTCATGTGAGCGTAGGGGAGGGTGGTGAAGGAGTGTAGCCATTAAGCGTTTAGGGAAAGAGGACTCAAAAATCGACTCATACACATACCCACTGCACGGCACATCCCTATCATGTTACAACACTGTCATGTGAGCGTAGGGGAGGGTGGTGAAGGAGTGTAGCCAATAAGCGTTTAGGGAAAGAGGACTCAAAAATCGACTCATTACACATGCCCGCTGCACGGCACATCCCTATCATGTTATAACACCGTCATGTGAGCGTAGGGGAGGGTGGTGAAGGAGTTTGCTGAGGGACATTGTGTGTGGGATTGGATTGGATTGGTTGGTTGGATGGTCCCGCACTCTCGTCTCCTTTCGTTTTTCCTCAGTGGTCGTCAAGGTTGTGCGGGGTTGCACCGAGACCATGCAAGGAGCCTCTGACAGCTGTTAAGTGAAGGGCAGAGAGCAACCAGCGATTATAGCCTTAATGTTGTGCCTCAGGCTGATTTTCCGACGCCCTTCCCCTGTCTCTGTCATCTACCACCCCCCCACCTTCCCTTTCCCCTCCCTTCCCTTCCCCCCCCCCCCCCCCCTTCCTTCCCTGCTACCCTCCCCCGTCATCAGCTGCTGGCGCATCTCAGCTCGGATTTCTTCGGTGTTGATCTCGCCTCTCTCTCTATCCACCACCCCTCAGCCTTCCTTCACGACAGCAGCAGCAGCAGCAGCAGCAGTGGCTACGGCTCTTATGATACTCCAGCCAGTGATCCTGACCCCACCACCAGCACCATGCCGCCCCACCTCTTCTTCGCCCGAACTCTCTTCCTCCCCATCCACTCCCCTAGCCTCTGCGGCCTCGCAGCATCACCCTCCACCGCACTCCACTCCTCCCCACCGCTCGCCCCCGACGCCCGGGGGCTCTCCCCAGCCCCCGACGCCGTGTGGCTGGCCCTGCGAGGCCTCCACCTGCTGCCACCGCAAGGCCTTCCCATCCTCTCCCCCGACTGGACCCCCCGAATCCCGGCCTCCCTGCAAGACGGCTCGCCTGAACTTTCACCTGACGGCTCACCTGAAGTTTCACCTGGTGTTTCCCCTCACCTGGTGGTGGGGCAGTCGCTGCCGGAGGACTGGGTGGTGGTGGTGTCGGTGGTGTGGAGCGCCCATGTGATGGAGGGGGGGGGCGGGGGGGAGGGTGTGCGGGAGACGGAGGCAGCCCTGCATGTGATTATAGCGATGCTCAAGGAGCTGTTCTCAGACTCACGAGTGATGGTGTATGACGAGCACTTGCCTCTGCACCAAGGTAGGTGACGGTGTGGCAGAGGCGTAGGCAAAGGCATGCATGGGAGACGAAAGCAGCCCCGCTTTTGGTCGCAGCAATCCTCAAGGAACTGTTCTTTCAGATAAAAGAGTGATGGTGCATGATGAACTCATGCCGCTGCACCAAGGTTTGACTGGTACTTTTCTTTATTTCTTTTAGGGGGGGGAGCTTGGGGCTCTTGTACTGATGAGGCCCCTTTCCGCCTTTCGTCTCTTGAGCTGCGTGTTCGTCTCTTGACCCATAAGCCCTCTCTCCCTCTCTATTCCTCTTCCTCTCCTGACGCACAAAGCATCTCTTCCTCTCCTGACGCACAACGCATCTCTTCCTCCCCTGACTCATGACGCGCCTCTTTCTCTCCTGACTCATAACGCATCTCTTTCTCTTGCTTTCGATTCCCTCCACTCTCGATTTCACATGCAGCCAGGGCGTTGTTCTCAAGGGCCATTCTTCTGGTGGGCCCCACATCGCCCGCCCTCTCCCACCTCCTCTTCATGCCCTTCAACGCCACCCTCATCGAACTCATCCCCTACCCCGTCACCCGCCCCCTCCCCTCCCTCCCCCTCTCCCTCTCCCTCCTCCAACCAAACCTCAAGAAAGCACCACCTGATCCGTCCCCGGCCGCCGGCCAACCGAGCGCCGCCACTTGGCACAGCCAGCTGGCGGAGCGGCTCGGGATTCGGCACTATCTGAGCGTGTGCGACCTCTCATGGCTGGACAAGAGCACGGGGGAGCAGTGCCATGTGGACGAGGTGTATGCTACAGTGCTCGCTACACTGCGCAGGAACCCGGCACTCCTTGCACTCACAGGCATCCCCCCCATCTCCTTCCCACCTGACACATTCCTTCTAGATACCAACACCACCACCAGCACCAGCCCCAGCAGCTGCTGCAGCAGCAGCAGCAGCGGTGCCAGCTTTAGTTTCCTGTATGCTGATATCAGCAGTAGTTTCGTGGATTTCCGGGATTTTATCCCGGGGTCGAGGCTGCAGAAGGGGGCGGGCCAGGTGGTGGAGTTTCGGCGGTGGGCGGCGTGCGTGGCAGAGAGGGGGGAGTGGCGCTTCAACGCCACCCCGCGGCTGCTGCCCTGGATGGAGAGGGGCTTTGACAACTGCGACCTCTACCATGTCAGGGAAAACGGAGGCTTGGCCGGAGCTCCTGCCGACGCTGTCGCTTTGGATCGGGAACTGAGTCGGGAGGAGAGGGAGAAGGCCTGGAAGGTGAGAGACGTGCTCAAGTACCAGTGGGTCGTGCCCGCTGACAGGTGTCCGCGGGTGGTTGGTGCAAAGCCAGGGGCGCTGGCGCAAGCTGTTCCGGGGTCGGAGGTGCCAGGGCCAGATGAGCTGTTTTCGCGGTTTGACGGGCGGGCACTGTGTGAGCTGGCTGGGAGGAGGAGAGACGGGCTGAGTGTCGCTTTCATCGGGGACTCGCTGACCCGGGAGGCGCACATCTCCTTTGTGCACAGCATTGTAACGCACATGCCGAAGCCGTCGAGTGTGATAACCAGAGAGGACGGGGCTGTATGGGTGGGGCAGCTGTCCCGAACGAAAAGCCATTATTACACCCGAGCCTCATACCGATTTGATGAGGCGGGGTGCCCGAACCTGCAAGTGCATTACGTTGCGAACCGGCGGCTGGTGATGGTTGGGGAGGAGAAGCGGGAGCGGGTGAAATGGATTAGTACGCCTTGGATGGAAAGCTCAGAGGTAAGGGGAGCGCATGTGGTGGTGCTGAATAGAGGGGCTCACTTCAAGCCTACGGACCATGTGGTGCTTTCGGTGTCTCGCGCGCTGCAATTTCTCCGGTACAATTACCCCGAGAAGCTGCTTGTTTACCGGGCTACGGCCCCGGGTCACCTCAACTGCAAGGATGCCGCTGGGCCCATCTCAAAGCGGCAAAATGCGAGTGATTTACCCTACCATTGGGGAGAATTCAAGGCACAAAACGAGGCGGTAAGGCCGATAGTGGAAGGCATGGGGGGCGTGTTTATGGATGTGGATCCCTTGAGTGCCTTGAGGCCCGATGGGCATCGAGGGTTTGTTGAAAAGATGGATTGCTTGCATTATTGCTTGCCGGGACCGGAAGACGCATGGTCTGAGTTCCTGTATAATATTATACAAAGGCTTGTTCCTGTATAATATTATACAAAGGCTTGTTCCTGTATAATATTATACAGAGGCTTGTTCCTGTAAAGTAGGCTTTGTATAATGTGGTGCATGCTTGTATAATAAGGTGTAACACAATGTGAAGCTGTACATCTGTTGTAACAGTAACAGGTTTTACTACAGGTGTCCAGTTGTTAGGTGGTGGTCAGTCTACTCTAATGAAAGGACCATATAATATAACCCTCTCACACAATCAGATCAAGAAAGAACCAACCCATTGTGTGCTGTGCTCTTTTCTTGAAGAGGCAGCAGCACAGGTAAACAGAAGTTAAGACGCTACATGACGAGCCAGTCAACCTGAAAGAATGTCAAACGCTGAGTGCAATGGTTGACATTTTTTCGTGCAAACAGACAGCAGAAGTCGACGAAAGCCAACAGTGGTCAATTAAGGCGAGTCAACGTGGAAGAAGGTGGAGAGGGTGAGATGGTTGACATTCTTCATTGCACAAGTCAACACAAGTCAACCGGAGTCAACTGTGCTTCAAGGCGAGTCAACGCGGAAGAAGGTGTAGGAGAGGGTGAGATGGTTGACGTTCTTCATTGCTGGGTCGCTTGCAAACTCGGGATCAATGTAGAAGAACACCTGGGGGGGAGGGGGAGTTGGGGGGGAGAGAGATAGGAAGACAGGTAACAAAAAGAGGGCATAAATGTAGAACAGCTGGTGGGCGGGGATAGGGAAAGGGGCCAGGAAACAGCATCGGGAAATTACCTAGTTGGTGGGGTGTGAGGAGGGGAGACGGAGTGCGAGACGTGACAGGGGAGGGCTATGATAAGGAATTCTAATACTCACGGGCATGTCGATGGTCTCTCCAGGTTGCAGGCGCTGCTCCTCAAAGCAGAAGCACTGGATCTTGTTGAAGTAGATGCCCGCCTAGCCGGGATGGCAGGGAGGGGGGAGAGGACAAATAGGAGGGGAGGAGGAAAGAGAGGAGAGAGGACGCACTGGGTCTTGTTGAAATGGATGGCCACCTAGGGCAATGACAGGATGCGGGGGACGATGGGAAGAGATGTGAGAAAGGGAGAGGCAGGAGGCAAGAAGCACTGGGTCTTGTTGAAGTAGATGCCCGCCTGGCAGGAATGCAGGGAGGGGGGAGAGGACAAATAGGAGCCTCTGGCTCGTTGAGGTTGTTGAACCTCCAAAAGTGATCTTGCATAGTTAGTGAGGAACCACAATTGAAGGGACAAGCGAGGGCGAAAAAGAGGCAGTGAAATGTTAAAGGCGTTTATGAGAGCAGCACGATGCCCAAGCACCAAAAGGTGCAAGGACTAGCGTACCCGTGCATCTGACATGGCATGTGGAAATGATTACCGCTATGATACGTTTGACATGGTGTGTGAGCAACATGCTTTCACGGGCGAGGCATACATCAATTGGCGAGACATACCTTCATGGGCGAGACATTGTAGGTGCTGACTCCTGTGATGGCTTTGTCACTCTTGTTGTGGGCTGTGTAAAAGGCGAGCGTGCTCTGGCCAGGCCTCACCCGAACCTGCAAAAGAGGCTCGGAACAAGGGGCACATGGAGGGTTGGGGAAATAGATTAGGCAGCATCGGAAAGCTGGCAGTTACCTGAAGCTGCATAGAGGAGGCTGCGGTGAATAGGAGACTCTTAGAATGAGGTATGCCATGCAATGTCCAAGTTGCCATGCGATGCAAAGTGCCACGGCATGCAAAGTGCCACGGCATGCAAAGTGCCACGGCATGCAAAGTGCCATGGCATGCCATGCAAAGCGCCAAGCCTACCTCTCTCTGAGTGGGGATGAAGCGCCATGGGAGCCCCTCTGCCACGTCAGCATTGAAATGAATGACAATCTCTCTAAGGTGCACGAGCGGAGGGGGCAGCAACCAGAAGAGGCAGGTGCGAGGCAAAAGAACAAAAGAACAAGAAAACAAAAGAACAAAAGAACAAGAGAACAAAAGAACAAGAGAACAAGAGAACAAGAGAACAAGAGAACAAAAGAACAAGAGAACAAGAGAACAAAAGAACAAGAGAACAAAAGAACAAGAGAACAAGAGAACAAGAGGGACATCAATGAAAGACGTGGGGAATAAGCGGGTGTGGAAGGAGAAAAGAGGAAAGAGAAATGAGGAAAGAGAGATGAGGAAAGAGGATGACGATGTCTCTAAGGTGCACGCGGGGGGGGATAGCAGCCAGGGGGGTGGGCGAAAAAAGCAAGTAAGGGAGATTAGTGAAAGACGTGGGGCGTGAGAGAACGTGGAGAGAGACACTCCTGGCGAACACGGGCGCCCGGCGGCTCTTCAACGCCGATCCTAGTTCCTACCAGACGGCGAAACCCCTTCACTAGTTTCGCCAGGCCCTGGCCTACCTGGGGAAGGTCAACGAGGCCGCCCCAGAATAGTTTCCCCCCGTGGCTGCCCTCGATGCCGACATGGCCCTCGGTGATTGCTTTGCTGTTGCGGAGCCCCTGGGGGAGGGGAGCTCCTGTAGGCCCGGCCCCAGCAAACATGCACGTACCTCACTTGTCCCGACCTTGCATGCATAGCCTGTACCTCGGCTTCTCTCAATACACGGACCGCTTGAGAGAGAGAAACGAGGGAAGGAGACAGGCCGCCAGGCAAGGTGATGTGGGGATGAGGGGAGGACGGGAAAGCCGAGGAGGTGGGAGGAGAGGAAGGAGAGGGAAGCCTCGGGGAGAGAGGAGAGAGGAGGCGAAGAGGAGAGAGGAGAGAGGAACTTACTTGGCAGCAGCTGCGTTCTTGTCTGCACTCTGCCTTGCCACTTTCTCCTCCACTGTCTGCTCGTCCCAGCACAAGAAATTGCAACAAAAAGAGCATAGCACCACCGCATCAGGACACTGCAGCGACAACAAATCACAGAACGACGACTTGCGATATCAGTAAGAGTAATACAGAGGCATACAGAGGAGTGCCAGAGGTGTACAAAGGCTCTTCACTGTGAGCCATTCCCCATTCTTCCATTCCCACTCCGGCCCCCAACCTCTCACCACTCTCCTCTGCGTCGTCCCCCCGAACCCATTAGTTTGGCAGAAGAGCCGGTAGAGCGGCACAGAAGCATAGGTAGGCAGAGCCCAGCATGGCTACTGGCCGCTCTACCGGGCCAGCATTGCCAGCGCGGCAGCCACGAGGTACATCAGCTGCGACTGGTTCGCCTCTGCCTGCCCTCTGCCTGCCCTCTGCCTGCCCTCTGCCTGCCCTCTGCCTGCCCTCTGCCTGCCTCCCTGCCGGCCCCCCTGGTTCTCACCTCGCTCCTCTGGGCCGTGCCCCCTCATTCCCTCACTCCCTTATATCCCGCATCCCCCATTCGATCCCCCATTCAATTCCGCATTCAATCCCCCATTCGATCCCCCATTCAATTCCGCATTCAATTCCGCATTCGATCCCCCATTCAATCCCCCATTCAATTCCCCATTTCGTACCTCTTTCCTCTGAGTCGTCCCCCCAAACCCAGTGGCCTGGCAGAAGAGCCGGTAGAGCGGCACAGACGCATAGGCAGCGCCCAGCATGGCCAGCGCCGCGGCCACGAGGTACATCAGCTGCGACTGGTTCGCCTCTGCCTGCCGCCCTGTGGGGCCGCTTGGCCCGAACCTCCGCCGAGCCTGCTGGTTCGGTGATTGGTGGTCCGAGGCCTGGGGTTGAGCTTGCTGGGGTTGGCTTGGTTCGGCTGGTTTGCTCTCTTGCGAGAGAACGGAGGTGCCTGAAGCGAGGATGAGAGAGGGAGTTCGGGTGAGGTGGAGCAGAAGCGGGTTTTGCATGCCTGCACGCATGCATGTATGCATGTATGCATGTATGCATTCACAGCATGGCATGTCGTCAGGTGCATGCATTCACATCACACCATGGCATGTCTTCACGGTTTGCTTAATATTCTACTTCTCCCACAGATGCATGCACCCATGATATGACACGTGGCAGTGACCGCCAGCCAATAGGGGAGGAGCATCACCATGATGGAACGACGCGGATGATGCTGACGTGGCAGTGCATCCCGCCAGCACAGCAGCAGCAGCAACTCCCTGACGGGTGCCTTGCGGATGCCACGTCACGCGCCAACATACCGGGGAATGCGGTAGCTGTGCAGCTGTGATTAAAGCCTTTAGAGGCGCCTCGAAAGGTCGTGGAGGTGTGACTAAAGCGGGGGGGGAGAACTCATGCTGGTGTTGGGAAGACAAAGGGGTGGTATAGTATCGAGGGCACAGGGGGCTTCGGTAGGGAAGCTGCGGCGAAATCGAGGATCGTTCTAGTAACGGGGAAATGTAACTTTGTGCGGGTAAACTGGTGGCATGCGGGATGTGCTCGTAACGGGGGGTGGCGAGAGTGCTTAAATCGGAAAGGCGCGATCGGAGCGCGGAGAGCGCTTTACGCAGGAAGTGGCGGGATGACGCCATCGGCCATGCAGCGCGTGCGCGCAGGTCAAGCAAGTCAAGCCCAATCAAGAGAGTCGAAGGAGTGGCGTGATGGCGAAGGAACCCTGACGCGGCGGGCGCGGCTGCGGCGGCGGCGGCCTTATGGATGATCGGGACGCGGAATGGTTATGGCGGATGGGAGGCGGTGTGGACGACGGTGAATGCGTGTCAAAATAAGCTGTGGGGTGAAGAGGCCAACATAGACTCATGGAGAAAAACAAAATGACCACCAGGAGGATTCGATCCCTAGAGCTTGAAAACGTGGCAGCGAGGGAAGCTCAGAACGAAGCTTCCACAAGGATTTGTTTATGCGTGCTGGATTTGTGATGGGGCTGTATCATTCATCAATATTGTAACATATGGGAAACCAATGTGGTGTACACCCAGAATATGAAACACACAACTAGCAGCAACAGGCAGGAGTTCTCCTCGCTAAAAGCTTTTGTAGTGATTCTGCGTGATTCACGGTACCGCATTAACCAATAGCGTTGCACGGAACCCGAACCGGCTCGGAAGAGCCAGTCGACCGTCGATGCTACTTTTGTGTGCGCGTACCTCACATAAAACGTCCAGATTACCGTCGATTTGGACATTTTCAGAACAAGCGCAATGCCCGCCGCTTCGCATGCTTCGCTGCCGCAAACTTCGAGCTGCATTCACCCTGGATACACGAGAGCACCAACACACACACTCAGAAATCGCGTTCCCTCCCCTCCGCTCCCCTTCCTCACATTGGACAGGGGGGGCAAATCCGGGAGTCCAGCAAGACATTTCCGCCATCGCAAGACAGTCCCCCTTACGAAACCACAACTTCCCTGCTCTCGATCGCTAGCAGCAAGTAGTGCTCCTTTACCCGTAGAAGATGTCGCCCCTGCAACCAGTTTGAAGGAGATTCCCTATTGCTGTCCTTGCTACACGTGCATGTCATCCGGCCTTATCTTTGCTAGCGGAAGCTACGAAGTACAGACACTAATGAAAAGCCATGGTCGATGCTGGCAGTGAAGTACGGGAACGTAACGCGACATCCGGGGTCCATTGCTACTAGCTCACGCGTAACTCAAAACCTCTACTAATTTAAAGAGTCACGCTTTCTGGCACCACGAGAACGACGCGCCAAGCGCGAACGGAGTCTTCCGCGGATATCCACGTTGAACCTAACTAGCTACGAGAGCGGCGCGCAATCGGGACCCCTCGCTTTCACCTTCGCGGGCGACAAATGGCTCTCGGCGCAAGAGACAGAATCCGCGAGTTACGCCAAGGCGCTCCCTCGGCCTTTCGTCCACGATTCGCAGCGCCAACACCGGTGGCCTGGGAGCTCATTGCGGCTACAATGGCGGCGACTGCAGCCACCGGTGCGTCACTGCATCTCCAGTTCCGAATTCGAAGGTCCGAGCATCAATTAAGCTTTCGAGTGATCCAGACTCCGTTATTCTTCATTCACGCTCAGCTGCCCAGACGATAGACGAGACGACGATTCCGTTATTTGTCAGGATCAAAGGGCTTCAACCTCAAGCATCCCCCCCCCCCCCCGGGTCCCTTCCTTTCTACGCGTCCCTCTGCGCAGGAGCTGGAGCCACTGCGGCAGCCATGGATTTCAATCTGCGCACTCGGTCTCAGGCTGAAACGGCAGTGCGAGCGCGCCTCCGCGGGGAGCCCAGCTACACCGCACCACGACGAGCGCTGGCAGACAATCAAGGTAAGCCGCGTATCAGTGCGAGCTCGCACGCATTGAGCCTTCGAGTTCGCATGTTACGCCTTGAGTTGGTTTTTGAGATTTCTCAGTAACCAACTCGCTTCGGGACGAGGTGCTTTTGGGGGAAGACAAGAATTTCGAGCCTCAGGTAAAAAATTTAAGATGGGTGGCAGGTGGTGTAGACGTAAACAGAACGGTCAGTACGCGGTATAGCGCGGTATTCTTGCTCGTTCAAGTGTCAAGCCCGGTTTAAACCTAAAGCACCGCATCCTCAGGCTGAAACGGCAGTGAGAGCGCGTGTTAGCGCGGGGAGCCCAGCTACACAGCGCCGCGACGAGCGCTGGCCGGCAGTCCAGGCAAGCATTTGATCTGCCCGCCGCCCCTTGTCGCAAAGATCCTTTGAGCGCTTGCAGACAAGACAACCAAGGTTAGATTTGGATTCACGTACGTGAGTCCCAAGTACTAGTTGACTTTTGAGTCGACTCAAAAGTTATTGCCTAGTGGTTGGCAAGGCCCCAGCTCCCATCTGCCGCCGTCGGATTCACATCTGTTCTGCATTGACCCCTCCGCCCGTTCCCGCTTCTGCTTCGGCGTCCGTGTTTGCATGCCGTCCCACCGGCGGGCCCCATCGTATCAGTCGGATCGTCCTTCCAAGAAAACATCTTGAGAAAAGCATCTTCTCATTCAGCCCGCACGACATCGCTCGTTTGAGAGCCCGTCGCTTTTTTTTTTCCCCCCAAGCAAAGCCTCGTTTAGTATGATCCCGCATCCCCTCTTTTCCCCCCGCCTTCCGGTTTCTGATTTCTGTCGTTACCGTCCGCCCTTCTCATCTCGCCTTCCCCCATCTCTGCGCTCATCTCGCCTTCCCCCATCTCTGCACGGCACTGCAGAGAGTGCTCTCAAGATCAGCCAGACGGCGCTCATCGCTATCCTCGCTGTTAGCAGCACCCTTATCGTCTTCGCCCTAGCAATATGTAAGCTTCGTTAACTCGTTTCCCGCCCGCATGCTTCCTTTTCTCCAGCTCCAATGCTCCTCCCATCCCCACTCCCCTCTCCCCTCTCCCCTCTCTTCTCTCTCTCCTCCTCCTCCTCCTTTCAAGATCCTTCCTCCTTGAGTTTCTTTCGCCGTCGCTAACTTCCGCCATTTCCCCCTCCTTCTTTACCCACCCTTCCCTTTCCGCCAGTGCATATACTGCTGCTGCCTCCGCCAGCGCAACAACTCCGCCAAAGGGGGAAAGGGCGCGCGGAAGGGGGTCAAGTTTGCGGGGGACGTGCGCGTGACAGTAGCAGGGGGCGCGGGGGAGGGGAAACGCGGGGAGGCGGGGGCCAAGGGGAAGCGGGGGGGTATCATGAAGAAAGGGGCTGAGGGGGAGGATGGGGGGGCGGAGGGGGGGCGGAGGCGGAAGCGGGTGACGGGGGGAGCGTGCGGAGCACAGGATCCGCGGATGGGCTGACGTGGTCCGCCAAAGAGCGTGGGCGGACTGACAAGGGTGGCGGAGGAAGGGGAGGAGGGGAATGGGGACGAGAAGGGGAGGATGATGAGGAGGAGGAAGAAGGGGAAGAAGGGGAAGAAGGGGGTCAGAAGTTGCGGAGTGGAGCATAGAGGAGACTATCCACGTGGCAGGGCTCATGGCCGACTTTATAGACATCGTTGATCCTAAGAACAAGCCCAGGCGAGGAAGACGAGGAGGGTGCTTCCGAGAAGGAGCAGAAGAAGGGGAGGGGGAAGGGGAGGAGGGGGGGAAGGGGAGGGGAGGGGAGGAGGGGAGGGAGAGGCGGGCGGAGCAGCTGAGGGTGCAGCAGCAGGCGCAGACGATGAGCGACTCGGAGCATGACAGCTGGCACCGCGGCGTGCACGAGGCGAGCGGGGGTGGAGGTGGTGGTGCGGCGCATGAAGGACGCGCCGAGCGAGGCGAGCCTGCGTGGTCGACGGCGAGGTGAGCGCCGCGGGTCTGGCGGATGAAATGAGTGGCGGGGTGCTGCGGGGGTGGGTGCTGCGGGGGTGGGGGATGAGTTGGTGGGGGGTGAGGGGAGGGGGGTGGGAGGGAGGCGAAGAAGTGAGTGTGGACAGACATGGTGGTGAAGCGAGGGTAGCATGTGCCGAGCGCGCACGGGTAGCGTCGTTGACGACAAGGTGAGCGAAACCCAGCTTGACAAAGGTCACGAGCGCACCCAGCTTGACAAAGGTAACGAGCGCACCTGGGTTGGTAGAAGTACCGCCGCACCTGGCGGGTGTGGGGGAAGGGTGAAGAAAACCCACACGTTACAACATGCCTCGTTATATGCCTGGATTCACACCCCGTCCACACATTCCAAATCCAAACATTCACATACACACCTCTTGTCCACACCTCACAACCCGTGTGTCATGGCCGCACTTCACAAATCTCTGATCTCCCCCAACCCCTCCCCACCCCTCCCAACCCTTCACCACCAGTCCAGGTCAAGTTCCTCTCCTCCCTCCGCCACCCGCACATCGTCCCCCTGCTCGCGTACTGCAAACACCCCGCCCTGCGCGCGCTCGCCTTCCCCCTGCTCCCAACCTCAGCACGTGCAGT